TTTATAATTTCTAAAAAAATAATTTATTATTAAATATTAATATTTTTAATAAATAGACCCTTCCAAAATTTAATTAAATAAGCACCCATATATAATTAAAATTACCTAAAAAATAAAAATTCATTTCAATTTTATAAATCCCCAAATTAAAATCATGTATGTATTATTAGTGTTAAAAAAATAAATTTTTTTATTTTTCTATACAAAGTAGTGTAAAAATATGTAATTTAATAATAATATTAAGTTTTTTAAGAAATAATAAAATTTAAATTATAATATTGATTGTTGTAAATTAAAAGTAGAATCTTGATCAATGTAAATTAAAATTACTATCTTAATTAATTATTACATTTGATATAAAATTTAAACTTCAAAAACAAAATATTGTAAAAAACAAAAATATATATACTAAATTTAACATTTTTCAAAAGTTTAGGGATAGCTTGTCAACAGCTAGAAAAAATTTTGTTACTCAATTAATGGAATGTTTGTTAAGTAGATCATTTTGAAACAAAATTGATGGTTTGTAGACTATTTTGAAACAAAATTGATGGTTTGTAGATCATTTTAAAAGAAAAAATTATTTCTAGATTAAACTGAAATAAATCACATAGTTAATAAATTATTTATTGAATTTAGTCAAATATAAATATCTTAAGTGTTAAGTTTTTTCTAATAGAATTAAAAGATTTTGAATTTAAGATCCATGATATACAAATAGGGTAGCTTAAAAGAAAAAAAAAATTTACATCCTAATGTGCAAAAAAAAAAAAAAAACCACTTAGATCAATCATATCATAAGTGTTAAATATGTTGTTAAGGAGTACATAAAAATGGAATATATAAAGTTACAACACTAAAGATTGAAAGTTTATAACAATTATGTTATATTAAATAAATTTATACATATAATATCATATGTAATTTTCTAAATAAAAATAGTCAATAATATAATAATACATCATAATTATAAATTTATAATATTACATGATATAATTATAAATATATTATTTCTTGTCAATATCAATATTGACCTTACTTTTATCATCCTTGTACCATCAAAGATTAATCTTATTTTTATCACCAACATATATCAAATAGATGCTTTTAATTAGACTATTAACAAAATTAAAGTTATTTTAAAATTTCTATGTGAATTACTACGTGGCTGTGTTCTTTCAAGATCCTCTCCTCTCGGCTGCTTGTGGTTATGGGTGTTCACAATGTGGTTTAGTTTAGATTTTTAGATTTTTTAAAGTAATCTAATTTAATCAGTTAATAAAACTTTTAAGCTAATATAATTCATTATTATATGATAATCAAACCAATCCAATTTAAATTGGATTGGTATGATTCAATCAAATTGATTAGTTTTTAATACTATTAAATATATGAAATAATGTAAAAAAAATTTAATATCAAGTAAAAGCATAATTATAAAGCACATTAATATTCAAATAAGTAGAAACATTTTTAAAAAGACACAAATTATAAACAAGTACTTATACTCCTTTACAATTGTAAAAATTAAAAAAATTTAAAAATTCTTTTTAATTACATCATCAAAGACATCAAGGATAATAAAAGATAACTCCATGTTTCAAGTACAATACAAGTAATTTTTAAAAATTAAAACTAGTTTTTTTCCTTAATGCACCAATGAGTTGATCCCATTTTTTAAACTTTGTTTAAAGTGAATAAAATTTAAAATGAATATCACTAAAATTGATTAGAAGCATTCATAATCAAAATTTAAAATTCCTCAACCAAACATCTAAGAATAATATAATATCAAAACTAATTCTATTATGAAGTTTTAAGATTTCTAAAATGATACATCTTTAAGGCTTAGTTAGGAAAAATAAAATACTTTTCTAGAAACAAATTAGAAACTTAGGGTTCTAAGAGTAAAGTTGTAGACCAAATCTAAGGGGTAGAGTTGTAGACAAATTGGAAATTTAGAATTAGGACTAGAGTGAATGATAAAGAGGGAAAAATAAATTTGGCAATATGGGGATGCTCTATTTTTATTTTTTAAATTAAATTAACAAAGTTATTATCTTGTAAAACAAGAAAAAGAAAATTTAAAATATTACAAAAAAATATATTATATTATTTAATTAAATTATCTTATAATCGAGTTTTATCTTATAATCGAGTTTTATCTTATAATCGAGTTTTATCTTATAATCAAGCACTTCGAGCAATTTGAAGGTGAAACTACAAACAAACCAATTATGTCAATTTTAAATTTTTATAATGCAAACCAACCTAATTTTATATTAGTTTAGTTTGGCTTGGTTTGGTTTTTAATTAGATTGGATCAGTTTGGATTAGATCGGGTAAGTTTGGATTAGATCAATCAGATTGAATTGAATATAAACACCTTCACTTGTGGCAGATATTGCTAAACTATTAAGGCTAACTTAATAAAAAACAACAAAAATAAAGAACCCATTGAAGGAGTTGAACCTCTTTTACACTAATAAAAAAAGTTGCAAAGTCACTATAAAAGCTATCTATAAACTAAACCAACGTTGAGTTAAAATATGTTAAAATGTAGATGTTGTTGAGAAGGTAGGCTTATTAAACTTTGTCTTGAAATTTTGTATTTATGGGTCTTTATAACTAAAACTGTTGCCAAAAATTTGATCTAATCATGATTTTCTCCAACTTTCCTATTGTCATGCTTGACTAAATCAAAGGTATCTTAATAGTTTTGAATTCTTTCTTGCAAAACATATTTATGCCATGTCTCATTTAGTTACTAGAAATAGAACTCTAATGATCAAAAATCCCTCAAATTAGGCTTATTAGAACTGATTCTAATTTTCCTCAACTAAACTAAGCCACTCAGCAATATTTCAACAACTTCCTCGATTTTGTGAAATAGTTAATCTCTTTCCTTCCATTTCTACTACATGTAAGAAATTCATTACACCAGAATTTATCTTTATTATGAACTGTGTTGCACCAAATCATGGCCATTGATCATTTTTTAATTCTCAATTTTGGAAAAGGCTATAGTCATCGGATCTCCATTAGAGACACGAACATCCTTAAGAAAATTGTTAAATGTAATGTAAATAATGATACTCTTATAATTAGTTAAAATAAGGTTACTTTCCCTCTCTTGCTCTTTTCCCCTTCATTTTTCTTTGAATAAAAAACGCTATATATTAGAATATATGTTAGAAAAAATTTTAATATACTAGAGTATGTAATTGATAATTTAAATAATTTATTAATCAAACAAAACTACTAAAAAAATTACTTCACACTAAAAAATTCAAACACCGATCAAATGTAAGCCTACCATTTTTGAATTGGGTCTGGAGCTAGTGTGAATTAGCATACAACCAACGTTTAAATAATTTAATGACACTTTAAGGTGTAAAGATGTTAAGATTACTATTTATAATTTAAATTATATTAAATTGTAGAAATTGAATAATTAAATAAAAAATTATTTTTAATATAAAAAAACTTACCTTTTATTTAACAAATTTATTATATAGTCCAATATAATTTGAATGATAAATTTTTTCATATATCAATCACAAGAAAATAATAAAGAATATCTTAGAAGTTCGGCGTTATCTTCGAACTTCATTAAATATCTTGCAAAGGAAAATGAACTTATATGATGTAGAATCCAAGGGATTTATGAAGTAATTTTAATTAAATTAAAAAAACTTCGAGTCACAGCAATAAACACGTGCATCGCATTCATATTAGGTTTAAAGCCGATGGTCGTCCCTCTACTTTCATATTTTATTCGTTCTTGTCCCTCTACTAAGGATTTGTTCGTTGTCGTCCCTCTACTCTACTAAAGAGCCAAACGTCGTCCCTCTACTCCTCCTTTTTGGTTCATTGTCATCCCTTCCCTGACGCCGTTCATGTTGCCATCACTGTTGACCGTTAAATCCTAAACGATCAGCAGTTAAACTGTTCTATTTTTTTCACATGTGCTGCCACCTGTGCAACAATGGGAACAACTTTGCCCACTTTGCCTCCCTGTTTACTCATACCCCATACTTTCAATTTTTTTTTTTTGGTTGCAGAGATGAGTTTTCGCAGATCTGGAGGATTGCTCACCTGAGAATGTTAAGACTGAGGGTCCGACAGCAACAGCCCCGGCAGTTGTGATGTTGGCGGTGGAAGAGGGCGATGAGGAGGTGG